CAATTGTTAAAACAGATAATTTCAAAACAGGTATTGTTGTCATAAATACTAAAATTACAAGCAGGAGAAATGTAATTGTTGACTTGGTGCAAGCTTCGTAATTGATAAAAATTGTAATTGTTAAAAACTGTAAATATGGTAGATCACATTACAAATATGGATATAAATCTGTATAAAATCTAAGATATATGATTAATGTGATCGATTTATTGTGGTCAATTTTATCATTGCTGCTAAACAGTTTCTTCTACCAATCAGTATAAGCAACACACTAGTTACCCTTATATACTTACCAACTTGTTATAGCTTTTGTTTGACATATATGCCTGTTTTTTTTTATTTTATATTTTATTCGACCATTTAACAGTTAGCTTTAATTTTATCAATTCCCAGCCTTTTGACTATCAATATACAATCAACCACAAGTTTTACATTCTATAGCCACAGGTGAGCAATGCTTGTCAAACTGTACATGTTGTTGCTATTATTTTATTACTGCTAGTACTAACTGTAACCTTTGATTTCATTTTCTAGTTTTTCGACCACAGTTATAATCGATTGCAAGCCTTTAACTTATATTATAAACAAGTAAGCAACATTTATTGATGCTGTAATGTCCTATTGTTACTTTATTACTGCCAATATTGATTGTAATACTATTAAACTAACATGAACCAAGTCAACAAAAGTTGTAAAGTTATAAAAAAACATCGATTTTTTTCTGCAAAGGGTGAGTGGAAAAAATTTTTAAATTGACATGCCCTTTATATATTGTATCAGTTAAGCATGTTGTATGCCTCCAGAAGGCAACTCTGGACTAGTGCAGACAGGCCCATATCGATACAAAGTAGTGCTTGCAAGTGTCGATATTGCCTTCAGTGGAAAACTTTGGACTAGCAACCTTTTCTGTATCGATGTTGGGGCAGGAATGATGCAACAAGGGTGCTTGTACCTCCAGTGGAAAATCCTGGACTAGTGCAGACAAGCTTGTTATTAAATATTGCTTGCAAGTGCCAGTTGATACCATTTGTTGCCAATGAGAAACCCTGGGCCAGCATATGAAATTTTATCAACAATAGACTATTTTTGACTGTCATTTTTGCTTTGCATTAGCAGGGTACTATATATATTAAGCTAAATTTAATGTCTCAATTTAGAAACCTTTGTTGCTGCTCTATATTTTCTTGTATCACAAAAATACGATGACCCAATAAAATATGCTGCATTTTTAAGTAAACTAATACATCACTTGTTGAATGTTTATCTGGCAATTTTTGATCCTAATATCGATACTTATCAAAATTTAAAAAAAAAGATCCATAAAAATTTTGTAAGTTAAAATTTTTGCAATTTTTTTGTAGTTGTATTAACTTAACAAAATTACAGGTCAGGGAAAATTTATTGACTCAAAAGTACCTTGAGAAGGTACATGTAGTAAAAATGATATATCTTGACCCTCTCCCAGGTTACGATGAAAAAAAAATAAAAGGAAAGTGGATATTTGAAAAAACAAACCCCTTGCCTTCCCATATACCTGCAGTCAATGCTGCCTCCTGTCTTCTGATAATAATAAAAAAAATGAAGAAATAATAGTTTGTGATAAAGCCTCCAACAAGGTGATACTGGCTATATATTGAAACTAAATTGGTTCTGATATGCTTAAACTTATGAGAAGCACAATTATCAACATGTTTGTTTTGCGTCAACAAGTTGCCCGATCATCAGAAATCAAAAAATTGAATCAAAGTGCCTTAACAGCTGCAGGATATATATTTAACAATACTTAAGTTTTTAATTTTTAAAATTTTATTAATATTAATGTTTGCAGGTATCTTTTGATAAGAGAAAATGAAATATTTACCCATGTGCATAACATACCTGTTGAATTATAAGGGTCTGAAAGGCAATATTTGCAAAAAAAAAAAAGTTGTAGTGATTAACAGTTTTTTTTTTCAACTATGATATGTATATATTTCTTGAAGATATGATAACAAGTATACAAAAAAAAATAGAAGAATATGATTTACCCTGACTAGATGCCAACAAATATGGTGCTACCGATAAAGGAATTACAGTTTCTTTCAATAATAAAAAAATATATTTAAACTATTCTTTAGGTCTATGTGAGGCCTATGTAGCCTGGAGATATAGTAAATTTGCTCACACCAATCTTAATTTTTTGAATCATGCAATTGTAGCTACTTGCCTGAGAGGAATATGATCAGGTAATAATAAAGAATTTGCTTACAGTAAAGGGGATTTTGATGGAGGCAACTTTTACATGATTAAATAGAGAATTAAAGTTGAAATAATAGGTATTTTTTAAACATTACAAATTATTAAAAATTTAAGTTATTAACGATTAAAATTGCCATAATTTTTCTAGGAAATACTCTTTATTGCTGACCAGAGAATAAATTACATAATACTACAATATTACTGATGGAAGGTATAACTTGTGGGCTATCTTAAAATTTGATCAAAAAAACAGTATCAGTTATAAAAAAATAGAAGGAAGGTAAAGAAAAAGCATATCATATGGATTATTGACATAATCAATTATCGACTGATCAACATACTTTACAAGCATTTAAAACATCGATAATAAAAAATAAAGAAAAAAATGATATAGAAAATTAAGTTATTTTAGAGAGTACTGGTTATAGAGGGGAGTATATTAATATAGAAGCAAGTAAATAACCATGGGCTGTATAAATAAATTTATTTAAATTTAATAAAAAAAAATTTTTTTTAATTTAAAGTTAAAAAATATTTCCGAAAGAATAATATACTAGTTAAAAAATTTTTTATTAAAATAAAGTCAGGTTAATTTAAGCATATTTAATTTAATTTAGTTAAATCAAATAGTTATAGTTGAATATTTCTTGAAACAGATTCAAATGTACCAAATTAGTTTCAAATTGTTTTTGCATTGAAACTGGATCAAATTTGTTTCAGATTCGAATCAAATTCAAATTGAATCAGATCAAACTATTATGGTTTTGAATCTGATCAAATCAATTTAAAACAAATCAGATCCATATTCGATTCATATTTATAAAAATCAAATTGGATCGAATCTAGTTAAAATCTGATCTGATTTGATCCGTTGTGATCACTATCTATATGGATAGAGTACATGATAGAGATCAATATTAGAGAATTTATCAAAACATATAACAGGAAAAATTGGAAAAGATTGAATAACGTAGAAAAGGATTTAAGAACTATTAATTCAAAATCATAGACTAGTTAACTTTCTGAAATCAGTTAAACCTATCCAATATCTTTGATACCTCTTTCAAAGATAATAAAGATAAAAGCTTCTTAACTAACCTGATCCATAATAAACTTCCAGTATTGCAAATATTAAAGAAAAGAAAATCAGATATTTATATCATAATAACCTATTCAATATGTGAACTTCAAAAAGAAACATTAGGACACCTGTTTGAATGTCCAATTATCAAAAAAATTAAAGTAGATATATAAAGAAAAGCAAGAGAAAAGATTAATTGTTATATTAGTAAAGAAATTAAAGACAAAGAAGAAATTCATTCTGCAATCAATAATTGAACAAGTAAATAGTTAAATGAGATTCAGTGATCTAATAGAAGCCTTTTCAATACTATTTATGAATACATAGGAGAGAACAAAACCATTTTCTTGAAGAATTACCTCAAAACACAACTCAAAATTCTCATGATAGTTACATAGAGCATAATTAGTGAGCTTTGTTATAAGATGAGAAAAATTTCGAGAACATATGGAACAGCTACTACAAAAAAGTAATAGAGTGGAAAAAGAAGCAAGATATTATTGAAAAGAACAAAATAATCAAAAAACCTAAATATAGATTCATTATGTAGATCATACAAGAACAGGAAGAAAAACCTATTATATATTCACAGAAAATCTGGGATAAGAAGTTACTAAAAAAAAGAAGTGAATAAAGTATATAAAAATCATCAAGAATTAGATTTGTCATGAAAGAAAATGATTTGATTTTTAATTGCAGTTGGAATTTAAAATGATCTACAGTAATGACCTGTAGGTAATAATTTTATTGGTTAGAGGATTTATCCAAGTCAGTAAAGAAGCAAAATATCATTTCCTAAGTTGTATCTAGAGAAATAGTTTTTTGATAACAGGTGAGTTAGTATGTGAAAGTCAAAACATTTTGTAAATATCTTTTATATATACAATAAAGACAAGCCATACTGACCTGACAGTGGGTTAAAAAAAAAAAAAAAAAAAAAATATGAAAGTCAATGTAATATTGCAAATATTTATTTAAAGACATGCAATGATACGAGTTAAAATAATAATAATAATAATATTTCAAGTGATTCACATAAACATATTGTGCAACAATAACAAAACTAGCACGTTGATAAACTAATTTATGACTATACAACCTACGCAGAATAATATTTATTTTAAGATATCAATCAATACTATCATTCTTTCAGTAAACACATCAATAAATTTTATATTCACCAGAAATAATCAAAAAAAAAAAAAAATTCCAATGTGATAAATGAATAAAAATACGTTAATTCCGAAAAATCCTTACTTAAAATATATAGGTAAAAATGTTCGTCGAAAATAAATGACTAATGGTTAGGGAAATATGCAAGATATTCCGATGTATTTGGAGATGGTAATCATAGTATTGTTTGAAGATCACAATTGGACAATGTATCGAAATAAAAGAATAGTCACAAGCTTACACGCTCGGTTTTCTCCTTTCAGCTTCAAGGCGGCTATAAAGCAGATAAAGAGCCATTTGATTAGACTCCGGAGTTCCGGTAATAGTAACCAACCGTTCGTTGGTGTTTCCATGCGGTTCGGCAATTTTAATATGCGAGCCAGAGAGGTGCCTGATTTCATTTATCTTGCTACCTCCCTTGCCAATGATACAACCGACCATATCATTTGGAATAAAAATTTGTTGAGCTTGGGATCCTGGCGGAGGCTGATGGTTAATAGGTCCTGGAGGTCCCTGCATGAATTCCCGTGTATACGGTGGACCGGGAGGAAGCCCAACATAAAATGGATTTCCTGCGATCGGTGCAGCCTGATGATATATAAGACGTTGCTGAGGTCGATATTGAGTAACATTAGCGTTTCTGTCGTTCTGATGCTTGGCTAGCTCCTCTCCGACATGAAAAACTGCGATGTGAATAGAATCGGGAACACCCGTGATGGAAATAGTTCGTTCTGTGGACTGAGGGAGCATTTCTTCGGAGGCAAGACACCTCGCACCAGACTTTTCTTGGATGTCTTTAATTTTGGATCCACCTTTACCAATGACGGGACCCATACGAGAATGGGGAACAAGGAGCCTGATTGTAGTGGCCTTTGAACTAGATGTGGATGGTGCATCCAAATTTTCATCCAAGATTTTCCGAGCTACTAAAGAGAAAGCCTAAGCAAACGCAAATTAAAAAATTTTCAATATTATACTGCACATGAAATTTTTGGGATTAATTAAAGAATATTGAAACATAAAATTTATGAAACCCTGCTTATAGAATTTCAGAAATCAACATGCATTTAAATTCAGCCAATTGGTAATCGAATATTCATTAATTAATTTATAAATTTACTAAAAGGAACATGAAATACCTTTGCAACTGTATCTAAAGGTCCAGTGACTGTCAGAATTCTTTCATATGTACCTTGAACCATTTCTGATATTGTAACTTTAGCACCGGATCTATCTCGAATTTCACTAACATTCTTCCCCCCTTTCCCGATAATAACGCCGGCTTCTTTGGTCGTAACAAGTGCACGCAAAGAAATAGTAGGGAGCGTAGATTCAGTCTCTGCATTTTTCTCTTTTTCTGCCGCAGCAGGAGAACGAACGTTCACATCCAACATGGCATCAGAGTCAGGGGATACAGCTCTATCTTCTGCATTAGGTTCATCAGGGTCTCGATAGGGATCTTCTGCACCATACTCTGAAGAAGCATCTTCCTCTCCACCTGAATTATTCAAAGCAGGACGCTTGTACCTAGCTCTTCCTTCGTCAACACTAAGGTCATCATCGTCGTCGTCAGTCGGAAGAGATCGTTTACGTTCCGAGGGAGAATGAGTGGTATCTTCGCAGCGGTCAGACATTCGGATTCGGGTTATGGAAAGGAATTCGGGATTAGTTGTGGATAACTAAGAACACTGAAAAAAGGAAAAGCGTTGGGGGCGTGAGTGTTAGGAGTGGGCTAGTATGATTTACATTGCAAAGGTACATTTTTTTTCAGTGGCTTCTGGTGCGTGTTTAATCTTAAAGGCAAAAAAAGGAGACAACAAGCTGGAGAGGGACGGTACCAAAAAGCAATTACTGAAGAAAGGGTTTCGTAGATTGGTGAGATCCGTGCAGCTAACTAGATTTTTAAATCTACTGGCAAGAAAGTGCTCGTTTGTGTGGAAGTTCTATGAGGTATACGCTATTACCAAGTTACTTGGTTTTTCAGTCTCAATTTTTTTGTCCGTTATTCCGATTTTTCTAATTATGAAAGTAATATCACTTCAATAATCACAAATATTAAAAATAACTATAATTCTTGATAGTATAACAATTATTTTTTTTATTATATATTTTATAATTATTAATTAATAAAAAAATTTTTATTTTAATATTGATTTTCCTGTAATAAGTATTATTTTAATAAATTAAACTATTTATTTTATATTATCTTTTTTTTTTATATACAGTTGCTTCCAGCCACTCACTGTTTTTATTGTAAATTTCAATTTTGACAATTTTTAAATCCTTAATTATACAATCAAAAATTATAAAATTTATATATTATATATTAATACTAGTTATATTTATTATGTTTTTTTCAAAAAATTTTTATATGTAATTTTTAAAGTTTTATCATTGCTAAAAATTTTTTTCCTTTATTAAATTTTTATTTTTAAAAATTTTTGATTGGCTGTTATTGTAAATTATATGATAATTAATAAAAAAATAATAATATTTAACAATAATAAAACTTTAGAATGAATGTATTAATAAAAATTTTTTTAAAAAAATATAAGAAATAAAATAAGTATCAATACATGATATATGTAAATTTTATAATTTTTGACTATATAATTAATGATTTAAAAATTGTTAAAGTTGAAATTTATAATAAAAATATAGCAAGTGGATACAAACCAACCATATATACTATATATTATTTCAATTTTATATAATAATTTAATTTAAAAATAATTGAAAATTAAATATCTAAAGATTTTATTTAATTAGAATATAGTTATTTAATATAAACATTCTTTTTTAAATAAATAAATTTCAAAGTTTTATTTTTATAAAAAAATATTTTAATTTATTAAATAACTTACCATTAGTTAAAAATATTTTTTAAACATAATTTTAAAAATAATATTATTGATAATTAACTTATTATTATTATAACTTGAAATAAAGTTAATTTGTTAAAATTTTATTTTATTTTATTTTATTTTTTGCCTTCTGTCAGGCTAATTATATATGTTTTATTAAATATTTATAAGCTATATATATAATATGAGACACTAAAGCTAATTTTTTAACTAAATCACTCGTCTTAATTATTTTATCTTTCTAAGTGTAACTTCAGAAGTAATTTATTATTCTGTTAGAAGTTTAGGTAAATATTTTTTCAATTTCTAATATCATTGTCTACAGATTACAATTGCAGATCACTTTTTCAAATTCTGACAGAGATTAAGATTTTAATTATTTTATCTTATATTTTATCCTGTCTTGCAGAATCTGCTTGAATATTATGTTTTCTAATTCTTCTTCCCTTAGTGATACTTAATATAATCGATTTCCTGATACTTTGATTCTGTTTTTTTGACTTTGTAGATATATTGGTCTTTTAATCTTATTATCTCTATTGATTTTTAACTTTTATTTTTACTCTATTATTATTTTATATCTAACATTTCAAATTTTCTTTTTAAAGTGGTTACATATTTTCTTCTGTATCTTTATTATCTACTTTCTTACTTCTTTATCCATTCTTTTTTCATGATACTTTGAGTCTACTATCTTACCCATTAGATCTTTTCAATCAATCCTATACAAAAGCTAAGTATATTTTAATCAGTATTTGATATTTTTTCTATCAGTTGAGCTATTTTCTTATCTATTTTTTCTCTTTTCATTTTGTCATCAACTACTAAACTTGTTTCTTTTTTTTCTGACTCCTTTTTCCTATCTGTTATGAGTTTATTGAACCTTGCATTATATCTTCCATATCCTTCTACCAAGCTTCTTACCCCTAAGTTTTGTATGTTGGATATTCTAACAAGTGTTCTATTGTTTTTTCTTGCTATCCATATATGAGATATTTTACTTGCTTATATAAGTCTGATCTTTTTATGACTAGCTTTGTTAATGTGAATAGCTTGTCGCTAGTTATCTTAACAAGAAAGCTTTTTCTTTATGATTTTTTAAAAAAAGTATTTCATGTATATCTATTATTTATTTGTTTCCAAACTAGATCTCATATGTGCTTGTGCTGGTTTTAAATTTGATAACCTTACCTTTTATCTATTTTATTTTGGGTTGTTTATTGGTGTGTTATTATTTTGGCATTGGTTTTTTTAACAAATAGCCTTATTAGAGTATTCAGTACTATATCTTGCCATTTAATATTAGTAATAATCTTAGGTAAGTTCAGATTTTGCTATTCTATTGTTGAGAACTTTAATACTTCTTTGATTAGAGTGTCTGCTTCCTCACTATATTGAATATTGGAGTGTGTTTTAATCTTGATAAGATTTAGATCTAATTCTTTTTTCTTTATCAAGTTTAATATTTATGTTCACAAGGATCAATTTTGTTTCTTTAGTCATTTTTTGTGGGTTTTTTTTGAGATCTCCCTTTTCTATAGTTTTCTATTTGAAGATGTAGGCTTGATTGTTAGTATGGATCTTAACCTTGCTATTAACTGATATTACTAGTAATATAGTTATTATCACTACTAGTTTTACTTTTGTAGACGAAGGTCAATTAACTATTTTTGCTTGGAACTTGCTTTCACTTTTTGCTTTTTCAATTTGTATCCATGCTACACCTATCTTCATGTTTTCGTTTCTGTGATCAACAAGAGATTTATAAAAATAAAAGATCATTGTATTATTGCGATTATTTCTTTTATTGTGCTTGAGTATTTCAATCAGATAGATTTGATACATGCCTTTTTTAATATTCTCTTTAATAAGCTTCTCCTCCTAGTTTTCTATTTCCACTTCTTTTAGTTGCTTTTTATCACATTGTGTAGTTACTAAGTCTATATGAATTGTTCTACTTATTGTTTTCTCTAGGGCTATCAATTTGTTAAAATTTTATATATAATATTTAATATTACTAATATTAAGTATTTTTTGTATGACCTGTGGATCAATAGTGCAGTGGATGTATTCTCAGGTCACCATCCATGAGTTACTAGTTCAATCCCACTTGAGAATAGTATTTATAATATAGGTTACATTATACAAGATATATGCTTATTACCATATACACATTTGTATACAAATACAACGTATAAAATCCTACCATCCGATCATGATTTAATAAATTAGGTCATATAGCCTTAACCAGTTTTAGTGCTAAAGAAATTATAAGATCCTATTATTTGAAATATGTGAAAACACCAAGTCAAGTCAGGAAAGACCCTGATAGATTCAAACCTCTAATGGAAATGTGAAGACATCTACCTCTTCTCAAAAAACACCCTCATGGGAGATCTGGAAGACTTCGGTCATCTGCACCAATTGAAAATGTATGGGCTATAACTCAAATTAATAGAAGATCTTATCACGATCATGAAATCAATAGCTCCAGAGAGAACAGCTGTCTGTGAAGCTGGTAATTAGCATTATTATTATAATAGGAACTACAGGGGCAAACTAGAAATTTGGAAGAAATAATTCAGAAAGTAATAATCAAGAAAAACTCTATAGATCATATTTGAAGAGTGGTTAAAAATGAAGCAATGGAAGATCACTGGTCGATTAATAAAGCAGTATCATTGAATCACCAGGATATTAGTACAAGACCATAAGGCCTGCACATATCAGAGTATAATCAGTTTTCTGAGGATTAAACATGGTAAGGATCTACTATGGTATACATAAACAAGAATGTGAAAACAAAGCATCAAGAATTAAAGAACATATATCTCAAGTCTCCTGAAAAAATAAAAAAATAATAATATAAGTTTTTTAGCAGACTTCAGATGCTATATGGTCTGGGCACAGCAGGGCAACTAATAAAATGGTGTCACATTGTGACAAAATCAGGGTATTCAATTGGATAGGTAGTATAGAAAAATAGGTTAGATGAATATCTCATATAATCAATACTATATTATCATAAAATACTTAATAAATTCACTTCAGTCAAGTTGGACTTTAAAAAAAAAAAAAAAAAAAACAAATTATTTTTTGTATAAAATCTTTAGATACAATTGTTTTTAAAAAGTTAAGTTTACTTATTATACAGTATTTTATTATAAATTTTAATTTTATTAATATTTAAATCCTTAATTATACAATTAAAAATTATAAAATTTACAAATATTATATTTTTATATTGATTTTATTTTTCATTTTTTTTTTTTTTTTTTTTTTAATCCACTATCATATCTAAATGGCTTGTCTTTATTAAAATACTTGAAAAAATATCAAAATAATTTGCAAATCTTCTTACATAATAATTAACTTGTCTTTATATATTATTAGTTGAAAAACTACATTACTTAAAAAATATAAGGTATTCACTAAGCTAGTTTAGACTAAACTAAACTAAGTCTCAACTAAGTACTCTAAGTCAGATTTGGAAGATAATATTATACTCTTCTAGTAGTTTAGCATATTATCTTTAAGTCAATTAGAGTTATTGCCAACAGTTTATCACTATTGATTATTTTAAAAAATAATGAATTGCTAAAGTTGGAATTGAAAAAGGAAAAAATAAAAAATAATTCAAAGCCTTTTAAAAAATTCTTGTTCCATTTCATAGCCTCTTCTCAAAAGAAGTCTTGTCTGCTTAAAATATTCTTCTTTGCTTCATTTGGATCTTGGAAGAAGTCTTCTTTGTCACTACTTGTGACATCAAATAAGTCTTTATTTAAGCATGTATCAGATTAGGATAGTTCAAGAAA